TTCTTCCTTTCTTTTCCTTTCTCTTTCTTTCTCTCTCTCTCTCTCTCTCTTTCTTTCCTTCCTTCCTTCCTTTCCTTTCTTTCCTTTCTTTTCTTTCTTTCTTTCTTCCTTTCCTTTCTTTCCTTTTCTTTTTCTTTCTTCCTTTCTTCCTTCCTTTCCTTCCTTTCCTTCCTTTCCTTCCTTTCCTTCCTTTCCTTTCTTTTCTTTCTTTCTTTCTTTCTTTCTTAAGCAAGAAGGTAGATTGATAGGAATACGTGTTGTTGCATAGATGATTTTTGAAAACATGGGGTCTCTGAGAAGGAAATCAAAAGGTCAGCCCTTGGAGCAAGGGAAAAGGTGGGTAGATTTTTCATCTATTGGGGAGGGTGGGCCTATATCCAGATCTGGAATTGGGTACATTCCAGCTTCTTAATTCCACCTTCCCAAAGGGTTAATTATACTCAACATATGCAGAGTATATTTGGATAAAGGGTGGGATAAAAAAGGTCTTGTCTCCACCTTGAGACATTCGACCTTGTTGAGAAGGCACCTGGATTTTGTCTGTGAACTATAATAGCTGGATCAACAAAGTGAGACAAAACTCTTGGGTGAATCTCACAGAGGAGGAAGTATTTGAGCTGGGTGTTGGAAGAGAAGGAGGGGCCCCTCAGGAGGGGAGAAATGAGAGCACTCCAGGCAGAGGCAGGCCAAAGTGGGGAACTACTGGCATCTGGGGTACCAGTTGAGAACCGCCAGAAGGGAGCACCCAGGCCCGGGGGTGCTAGGAGACAAGGTAGCAGAAGGGCTTAATCTGTATGACAGACTTTGCCCATTATCAACTCCATGAAGTAGGGCATCTTACGACCCTCATGCTGCAGAAGAAGAAACTGAGGCATGGTCTTTATGACTTCAGTGAAATAGTGGGGTTTAAACCCAGGCATTCTGACTCCTAGTGCGTCCTGGGAGGAAGGGGGTCGGGGGTGGATATGGACTTGAGAGGAAAAAGGGCCAGACCTGGGTGGCCAACTGACCGTGAGGTGGAGAAGGAAGATTCAAGATGATGAATATGGGATGCCTGGGTGGCTCAGTCAGTAAAGCATCTGCCTTCGGCTCAGGTCATGATCTCAGGGTCCTGGGATCAAGGCCCCACATTGGGCTCCCTGCTTAGTGGGAGTCTGCTTCTTTCTCTCCCTCTACCCCTCCCCCCTGCTCATGCTCTCTCTTGCTCTGGTGCTCTCTCTCAAATAAAATCTTTAAAAAAAAATAAGATGAATATCTTACTCAGCATATGTGGCCACATTATGGCACTATCACATGAGCCCAGAGAGAGAGAAGCTGATGGGGGATTTGGACAGATTGAGTGTGGGGTTTTTGTAGGCTGTCCAGATGGAGGGGGTCCTGTCTGACGCTAGGTTTGGGTAAATAGGATGAGGAAGAAGAGAAAGGGCTGGTCGTTTAGAGGGATTCCCAGGCTTCCAGCGTGGGGAGTCAGTGGGGTTCTGCATTCACACTGGGCCTGCAGGAAGTGGGCAGGACTCAAAGGTATGGAGCAGAGAGTGATAATGCAGAGGAAAGTCTATTAACAGGCATCTGTCCTTTCCTTTCTGCCTCTCATCCATCCTTCTCCGCAAGAAGGAAGCTGGTCCTACGTAAGCCGATCACAGGTTGCCCACAAACCTCTCCTGTATCTGACCTTTCACTCGTTTGGTGCTTTTATTGAAACAGTTCAAAGAGGGAAAAGAGATTCCGGGGGTCACTGCTGGCCCAAATCGACCTTGTGAGACTTAGAGAAAGGCATCCCTTAAGACACTTTACTGCCATCTGCTGGAAAATAGTTGTAATAAATGTAGTAAAATCTACACTGATGCCCTGGGTGGCTGCACAGGAGTGGTGCTTTGTGGTATGTACAGCCTTCTCAACCTTACATGTCAGCCTTGAGTGCTCCTTTTTTTGTGGGGCAACAGGGCTTGAAAGCAACAGTCTTCTCTCCTTCTGTCCTCTCATAGCCAGATCCGATGCCGATTCTTCATGCAAGGGAATGGCCGCTGCCCCTTCAAGTCTGATTGTATTTATCTGCACCAGCAACCGGATAAAGCCCTGACCTCTGATCCTCCCTGGACTGAGAGTATGCAGCTGACTTCTGGGAGTGAGGTGGTAACAGCAGGGATATGGGACAGGGAGGCTGCTGGCCATGTTTACAGTAAATGTCTTCGATAAATGTAAAAGCCATACACATCATGTCCGTAATGATAATGGTGCCTACTCAGATGGGGCATCTTTGTGCTGTGTACCACCTGCCCGACCTTATGTGTCAGCCCTGATTCTCTTGTTCCTGGGGCAGTAGGGTTGAAGTTGATGGGTTTTCACTGATTTCTTTCTCTACTCCCAGGCGCTGGGCCCAGCAGGGTTCCTAGGGGGCACTGAGCAGGAAGACGAAGTGTTCTTCATGGACTGTGCCTTGGCCATGGCCTTCTGGGGTTCGGAACTCTTACTGGATCCCGATAATTCTTACCTCGGCCTTCTGTAACCAGAATCAACATATGGGGGATGGGGCTGAGGGGCAACGGTTGCTAGGTGGTAGGTCTTTTCCCTCTTGGGGCTTGGTGGGGGCTGAAAGTAGCAAGCCCTCCACGCCCAAGGAGAACAGTGCTGACACAACTGGGGATCAAGGGAAGAGGAAGAGAAAGGGTTCACTCTCTTGCCAGGGACTTGGTTTTTAACTTTGTTCTTTTGTAGGATTCTGAAAGAAAACCAATAAAATGCATCTAAGCCATCATTGCTGGTATCTAAAGAATGTCTGCTCGTAGCCCGGATGCCCTCCCCCTGAATCACGGGTTGTTTCTGCAATCATTCTGTTGCAATGTCACCCGTCACTTGACCTCTGTGAAACTTCACTTTATGCTCCTAAGAGTATGAGAGTGGAAAGGGCAAATAACATCTTAGTATTAGGAAAATAGTAGTGACATCATGGATCCCATGAAAGGGTCTCCATGATCCCCCAGGGTTCTTGAACCACCCTTAGAACTTTCCTTCCTGCTCTCCTTTCCATTGGCTAGAATGCCCACCTTAGTGGGCATGAGCCAGAGCCACCATCGCAGAGTAAAGCTGAGAGTTGAGGACTGGCAAAGCACTGAAGGTTATTTAGCATTCCTGACCCTACCCACTACTTGTCAGGGCCTGTCTCTCCCCTCTCCCCCAACAGCTGGTCATTTGAAGACCAAAGATATCTTCTATGAAGTTAGAACAGTTAACCTGAGATAGAGGTGTTGGCAAAAAACTTCTTTCCTGCTATTTAAGCCTTTGCAAGGCAGTCACTAAGAAATACTCCTTAGTCTTTACCAACACCTCCCATAAAATTATTTTGGGAAAAAACATGGCTCCAGTGGAAATCAGATCCAGCTCAAAATATTCCTACGGCTTACCATACTGTTCAGGGGCGCCTGGCGGACTCAGTCGGTAGAGCATGCAACTCTTGATCTTAGGGTCATGAGCTTGAGCCCCACATTGGGTGTAGAGATTACTTAAAAACAAACAAGATATTCCTATGGCTTACAGTACTATTTAGAGTGAAAAACCAAAGGTCCTCTTTATGACCTCAAGGCCTCACAAGATCTAGCCCAGTTACCTCTCTGATCTCTTCTCTGATTACTCTCCAGCAAGTACATTCTGCTCCAGCCACACTATGTCTCGGGGACTTTGCATGTGCTGTCCCCTTTGCCTGAAATGGCCTCCCTACAGATCTCTATCTCACTTGCTTCCTTATCTTCTTCAGGTTCATCTTGCCTGACTACCTACTTAAAATTACCTCACCCTATCTCCCTTCCCTGCTATATTCTTCTTCTTGAAAGCACTAATCACAATCAAACATTCTATTGTTTACTTATTAGTTGTCTCTCCTCTCTAGAGTGTCAACAACAGTGAGAAGGGTCTTTGTTTTGTTCCCCAAATCCCCAGCCCTAGGTGCTCAGTAAAGGTTTATTGAATGAATGGATGTGTGTTGCTGCAGAAGCTGGGAGAATGGTAAATAGAAACTGGAACCCAAAGTAGGGTTTATGGGTGCTGTGGGGGCTCTTCTATCTCTTTATTTTTTTTTTAAAGACTTCATTTGAGAGAGAGAGAGACAGAGAGAGCACAAGCAAGGGGAGAGGCAGAGGGAGAGGGAGAAGCAGACTCCCTGCTGAGCTGGGAGCCCGACTCTCATGACCTGAGCTGAAGGCCGATGCTTAACCATCTGAGCCACCAGGCACCCCATCCCCTCTCTCTTTATTTTTATCCTCTGCAGTGATTCCTCCTTTCCCTCCACTCCACTGGAAGCCTGCCTTCTCCAGCAGATTTCCTTAAACTGAAACATTCGGAGGTGGAGCCCCTCCTGGCCCCTTAGAAACAACCAGAGCAAGCTGGCTTCCTGGACTTCAGAGGAAGTTCACAGCAAGGCCTTTGGCCATATAGATAGTGTTAGGTTTTACTACCACCCCATTCTCAGGGGTAGTTGTGTATCAAATATTTCTGGAGAGGACTGAAACCCTAGTGATGACAACTGATGGCCTATAGAGGAGGTGACGTCAAGGTAGGGTGGTAAACTGTGATCAAATCCTATCGCAAAAAAAAAAAAAAAAATCCTATCGCAAAATCCATGATCTACACATAATATGGACATCAGCTAAAGTTAAATGATTCTTGGATCCTGAAGAACAACAGGATCCCTGACAACCATTCTGAATCCACCTCTCGTCTGCCTACTGCAGGGAGCAGCGGAGGAAGGAAGGTGAGGGTCAGCAGGCAAAGATCCGTCCCTCCGCCAAGTCCCGCCCTATCTTTGGCATGACCCCGCCCACGGCCGAACACCCTTGTTGTGGCCCCGCCCCATCCGTGGACTTCCCTCGGCCTTCGTCCCGCCCCCTTACTCCGTTCCTCCGTCTCTCTATGGCCAAGACCACCACTGGCCCCGCCCCTTCCGGCCTGCCCTCGCCCCCTCCCTTCACGTCCGGCCCCGCCCACTTCGTAGGTTTCTAAAGGCGCGCGCGAATCTTGTCAGGCTCTGGGCCGCTGAGCTCCGTGTGGGACGCCGAGGCCGGCCGGTGGCAGGTGCGGGAGGAGGCTGGTCGCCACGTCGGGGCAGGCGCTGGCGTTCTGCTCCCTTTCGCCAGTTCTCGAGGCTGAGGTCAGGAACCAGAGCGGCGGCCGGCGCAGCCCCGGGGCCATGGAGTCCCGGAGCCCCGGAGCCCCGGGCATGGCGGCCTCGGAGGCGGCGCCCGCTCTGGCTGAGGACGCGGGGTCGGCGCCCTGGGCGCAGCTGGACACCCCCGCCCGGTTCCTGCTGCAGGCGCTGCAGTCGGGGCCGGAGGGGGCGCGGCGCGGCCTGGGGCTGCTGCGGGCGCTGGGCAGTCGCGGCGAGGAACCCTTCTGCTGGGGCTACGTCCTAGAGGCGCTGTGCCGGGAGGAGCCCGTCGTGGAGGGCCCGGACTGTCGCCTGGAGCTGTAAGTCGTCTGGTCGCGGGGCGCCACCCCACTTTTCTGGATGAGGAGACCACGACCCGGAGAGGTTCATTAGTTCCCCACAGCCAGGCGTCCCTGTCGCGCACCCTGGGCGGGGGGCATCCAACAGACCTTCACTGAGGACCTACTGGGTGCGGCCGGAGCGGGTAGACATAGGCCTCCCGCCGCGTGTAAATGAATAACTAGAAGCCGGTGGACTCAAATCGCTTCCGATCATATAACTTTCTTCTCTAAGGAAATCGAACTCATACCTCCAGTGTAGGGATACTTAGGTATAACCGAGTGGACACAAGGGTAAAAATACGTACATTATAAAGTATACAAAGTAGAAATTTAAAACATGGTGACTGAACAGACATCTGACGGAGTGGGTTTATAATGTCAAATTTTCAAAGCAGAGTATACATTTTAGGGCAAAATCACTTTCCTTATGGATGGTGTTCTTGATCATTTATGGTCTTTGGGGTGACTCTGAACTTTATTTCTTATTTTTTTGGCCTCTTTATGTAACTGACAATTTCTCCTCAGAGCAGAAGGGTCAGCTCTGCCATTTTCTTATTTGGTGGGCTTCCGTTACTGGTATTCAGTTTCTTTCTTTCTTTCTTTCTTTTTTTTTTTAAAGATTTTATGTATTTATTTGTGAGAGACAGGGAGAGAGAGGCAGAGGGAGAAGCAGGCTCCCCACAGAGCAGGGAGCCCGATGCTGGACTTGATCCCACAAACCTGGGATCATGACCTGAGCCAAAGGCAGACGCCTAACCGACTGAGCCACCCAGGCGCCCCATGGTATTCGGTTTCTTTTCAGTCATCCTTATCAGCAGTGTATGTCCATTTAGTGAGGTTGGTTTTGTTAAAGGACATAATGCAGTATCCATAAATGCATTTAATTATCATAATTAACGAAAATATACAAAGTTTAAAAAAAAAGTGAGGTGCCCCCTTCAGCCTCTAGGGGGCTGAAGAGCCGGCTTTGCACTCTTGGATACCCCTCCCTCAGAATTAGGCTGGAGACTAGACTATGAAGGGCCATTCACACCCCCCATATGTTAAGTTGTAATGCTTAATTTCTTACGTTTTAGATAAGGAGAAATGGAAATTCTAATATTGTTTTCCCACACCCCACTTTGAATTTCTTTCAAGAAATGGATTAGGAGAGGGGCACCTGGGTGGCTCAGTCATTTGAGCATGGGGCTCTTGATCTCTGCTCAGGTCTTGATCTCAGGGTCCTGAGTTCAAGCCCCATACTGGGCTCCAGGCTGGGCGTGGAAACTACTTAAAGAGAGAAAGAGAGAGAGAGTGTTTTCTGCATCCCCAAATTGGAGGCCATAGAAATGTTTATCCAGCTGTATGCTTTTTTCTGGACAGAATAGGAGGAGGACTTAATCTAGGGTCCCTGGTTAGAACTTTATTTCAGGATAATTGGTTTCTTTCATAATCCCATGTATTTTATCTTATATATTTAACACTTATTCTGATAAGGGGTCCATGCACACAAAAATGTTAAAAGCCTTTGAAGTAGGGTCTTCCCCACCTCTGCACTTCTCAATATCCTCTACAACAAATTGGCTATCTTTTTAATTTTTGCTTTAGTTTTCTCTCTCACTTAGTGTTTGTTGTTCACAAAGAAATAAAAGTCAGATTTTTTTTCTCTTTCACACATCCCAGGTGCCCCTTGTATGTGATGACAAGCAGCCCTGCAAAATCACATAGAGAGGAGCAGAGGCATGATGGCAGGTGGGCTCGATGTACCCATGACTTGCTTGCCACACCAATAAGCCTCAGGTCACACAGCATCTGGATTCTTGCGTTGCCAGCATGGCAGATGGCTGCATTGCTCTGTCCACAGTAGCCTGGCTAACCTCTGGACACTTATTCTTGGAGAGTTTATTCATTCAGTAGATATGCACCCAGTCCCTGTGATGGGCTGATGCTGTGCTGGGTACGGGACGTGCAGAAAGGAGAATCTGCCTCTGCCTCTCAGGAACTCAGTGGGGTGAAAGGAATGGCAAAGCTAGACAGCTGTGACCTTGTAAGTTCCAGGGGATAGCCAAGGTGAGCACAGGGCTGCAGAGTAAGCACTGCACAGCATCCTGGAGTACTACTACTACTATTATTATTTTTGTTTTGGGTCTTGGCCCATCCCATAGCACATTCTTTTTTTTTTTAAATTTAATTTATTGGGGCGCCTGGGTGGCTCAGTCGTTAAGCGTCTGCCTTCGGCTCAGCTCATGATCCCAGGGTCCTGGGATCAAGCCCCACATTGGGCTCCCTCCTCAGGGGGAAGCCTGCCTCTCCCTCTCCCACTCCCCCTGCTTGTCTTCCCTCTCTCGCAGTCTCTCTCTCTCTGTCAAACAATAAAATCTTTCCAAAAAGTTTTTTTAATTTATTTATCTTTTTAAGTAAGCTCAATGTGGGGCTTGAACTCAGGACCCTGAGATCACGAGACACATGCTCTAAGGGGTGCCTGGGTGGCTCAGTCAGTGAAGCTTGTGACTTGTGATCTTGGGGTTGTGAGTTTGAGCCCCATGTTGGGTGTAGAGTTTATTTTAAATAAATAAATAAAATCTTTTTTTTTTAAAGATTTTATTTTATTTATTTGATAGAGAGAGCACAAGCAAGGGGAACGGCAGGCTGAGGGCGAGGGAGAAGCAGACCCCCTGCGGAGCAGGGAGCCCGATGCGGGGCTCGATCCCAGGACCCTGGGATCATGACCTGAGCGGAAGGCAGACGCTTAACGACTGAGCCACCCAGGCGCCCCTAAATAAATAAATAAAATCTTAAAAAAAAAAAAAAGTCAGATGCTCTACTGACCAAGGCAACCAGGGGCCCCGGAGTATTATTTTTATTTAAAGTTGGGGAAGGGACTTTTTTTTAATGTAAAACAAGGATCTTTATAGAGTAGGTTTCTTTTTCTTTTTTTTAAGATTTTATTTATTTATTTGTTGGGAGAGAGAGAGAGAGAGAGAGCACAGCACGGGGAGGGGCAGAGGGAGAAGGAGAAGCAGACTCCCTTTTGATCAGGGAGCCTGATATGGGACTCGATCCCAGGACCCTGGGATCATGACCCGAGCCGAAGGCAGACGCTTAAGGACTGAGCCACCCAGGTGCCCCTAGAGTAGGTTTCAGTGTGAATTTTTTGAGCTGAACTAAGTGTTGAAGAGCAGAGCCTAGCACAGAATACATGAATACGTGCTCAACTTTAACAAAATGGAATTGTTAAAAAAAAAAAAAAAGTGGAATTGCTCAGAGAACTTTTGGCTGTTTAGCAATAGTAAAAGGAACTCAAACTGGCTTCACCACCACAGCAAAACATACATGCTCAGTGAAGGCCTCATGCTGACCCCCTCCGTCCCCACTGCCCTGCAGGCACCGCCTCCTAGCCGCCCTGTCTGTCCATTGCCCTCCCACCTCTAGCTCTGCCCCGGCTGTCCTCTGCTCCTTCCAGCAAGATGCTCTTAACTGCTTCTCCTCCTCCTGCTACCAGGAGGCCACTGCTGCTGCGATTGCCCCCGTTATGCCAGAGGAACCTGATGTCCCTGCTGATGGCTGTCCGGCCCTCGCTGCCCGAGAGCAGCCTGCTCCCGGTGCTGCAGATTGCACAACAAGCGCAACAAGCCGACGCCTGGCTCCGGGCCCTGGGGCAGTTGCTGCGGAGGGACCTGAGCGCCGGGGTAGCGGTTGAGGGAGCGGGCCCCCTGTCTACACACTGCCAGAGAGAGCTCCAGGGCCTGTGCGGGCGGCTGCGCCAGGGAGGCCGGAGGCTGCAGTTAGCCCAGGCTCCCGTTCCCGACGAGGAAGAGAAGGAGGGCCAGGACTCCCCGCGGCCTGGGAAACGCAGAAAGGGGCCAGAGGAAGAGCTTGCCAGTCCTGAGGGCCAGAGGGCCCCCAAAAGGTTCCGGCGTTTGGAAAGGGAAGGGGAAGGAGGTCAGGAGGAGGAGAGACGTGAACCTGAATCTTTGGAGACCCGGGCAGCTGGAGGAGGTGCCTCACCCATCAAGAACCAGCCTGTCAGAGCTGAGCCCAGGGAGGCTGGTCAGAGTCTGGAGGAGGCTCAGGGCCTAGCCGAGAATTTGGAGTTGCCCAAAGCTGTCCAGGTACTAGAGGGGGGGAGGTTGGGTTTAGAGTGATCCTCCAGGAGTGGAGGGGTTTATCCAGGGCAAAAGCTGGTTGGGAGACTATTTCCCAACTGGGATAACTGGAGTCCACGGAGCAGGGGTGGGATTAAGGGAGTAGTCTCTGCTCCCCAGACTCTGGGGAGGGGGTGGTGAGGAAGTTAGTGGAAAGGGAGGGTCCCTTGGCCTCAATGATCTACAACACGAGGTTAAGGGATTGCCAGGCAAGAAGAGAAGGTCCAGAGCTGTCCTGTGGAGGGTGTGGAATCGTGCCAGCCTCCAGCCAGCCAGTCCTCCCAACCCATTAGGGTGGGTGCAGGGAGGACAAGTCTAAGCAGCTGCATTTCCACGGGCCTTGTTGACTTCGAGTTCTTAAGCACCTCTCAAGGTTTAGGCTTCGTGTTCTTGACTCTCTTGAATCATCCTTGCCTGCTAGCTCCCACTGATCCGGGGCCTTCTTGGGAGAGGGGGCTAGGATGGCCTGGGGCCACACCGTGTTGGTAGGAACTTGGCAGTGACTGGGCTCTCCTCTGCAGGACCAGGTTCCCAGGCTGCAGCAGCTGCTCAAGACCTTCGGGGAGGTACCTGGCCCCCGCTCACCATTGCCCCTCGTCCACCTGCCACCTAGACCTCAGCCCTGCCCAGGGAAGCACAGACTGTTTGGACAGCGTGGGGTTGGAGTGGGGGTCTGAGGACAGTCACTGCAGGGTCTTGTCTTGGCCCAAGGACAGATACGTCATCTAACCCCAAACAAGTCCCTCTCCTCTGGTAGCATCCAGGCTCCTCATTCACCCATGCTGCCAGACAAAGGGGTGGTCTCTGACTCGTCACCAAGGGCTCTGCCAGCACGAACATGGATTTGCCTTTCCAGGGGTCGGAGGGTGCCCCCCCGCCTGAGCTGCAGCTTCTCCATGAATGCAGTCCTAGCCAGGTGAGTCCAGAAAGACTGCCTGGCCCTGAGGGTACATCCCCTCTCCCCAGCCTTTTTCCATTTAAGTCTGTGTTTCCTTGCCTCATATGGGAATGGGGGGAGGGGATTTTGTTGGGGTTTTTGGCCCCTTGGGTAGGGGGCACCCTGTGTGTTCTCTTTTAGCCCTTGGATATTCACCACAGGGGTAGCTTTCCCTGCCTCACCTTACCTTGGAGTGTCCTTGCCCCGCCCATTCTGCTGCCAGGTCAGCTTGAGACAGCCTAGCAGGGGCAGACTGAGTGCATCTGTGTCGTCCCTCCTACTTGGCAGATGGACCTGCTGTGTGCCCAGCTGCAGCTCCCGCAGCTCTCGGACCCAGCTCTCCTGCAGCTCTGCACCTGGCTCCTGTCCGTTTCACCAGATCTTAGCCTTAGCAATGCGACCGTTCTGACCAAGAGCCTCTTCCTTAGACGGGTAGGTGTGTTGCGATACACTTGGCATGCTACGGACTATGGGGGAGAGAATCTGAGCCCTCAGAAGGGTGGCGCTTCGGAGAGCAGGTTCCCAACCTTGTAAGGCGTCTGGCTAGTCGAGGCAGCCTGGGGCAAGGGAAGGGCATGGACCTCTAGGCCATCTATCCACACAGCATCAGATTCCTCCCTTGTGGGCCCCAGACCCTCCCAGAAGCTGAAGGGATTTCGGAGCTGAGGAAGGAAGTTTTGTGTCTTTTCCAATGGGGGAATCCATGTGAGTTCTAGATAAAAGAACTTCTGTTTTTTCTTTGTAACATGTATCACCATCTTAAATACATGTCTGGTAAACATTTATTAAAAGGAAGAAGAAACGAATGGATTAATATTTTCCTCCCTGTTGGCTGTAGATTCTCTCCCTGACTTCCTCAGCCTCCCGCCTGCTCATGACTGCCCTGACCTCCTTCTGTGCCAAGTATGCCTATCCTGTCTGCAGAGCCCTTCTTGGCCCCGTGCTCCAGGCCCCAGGAACAGGTAATTCTGGAACCAGCCCCAGGCCTGGTAGCTCTGCCCTCTGGGTTCCCAGCATCCTTCACTCCAGGGGACCTTGGCAGTTGTGTATTCAGTCAGTAAAGATACCTTGCTTCCCTGACGATGCCCCCCTATAACGAGCCAGGCGTTCTGTTCCATCCTCTCCTGCCATCTGCCCCCAGACCCCCCCACTCTGCTGTCCCCTCCCCAGGTCCAGCTCAAACAGAGTTATTGTGTTGCCTCCTGAAGGATGAGGCCCTGGAGCCAGACATGCAGCTTCTAATGCTGGGGTGAGTGTACAGGCCCCTACTCCCAGCCCCTCTCACTGGCCCAGCCTGCTCCTGGCATTCTGGAGCTGGAGCCGCCTGGGTAGCAGGTCCTGTGCCTGAAAGATGGGCAGCGGTCCAGCAGTGACTGCAACAGTCTCTCGCTGTGGCCCGAGCCTGGCTTGTGCCTTGCCCCCGTGGGCCTGTGCAAGTTGCCATCCCGGGACCCTGCGCAGGTGGTGCCGGGTTCCAGGCTTCTGGGCCAGGTGCCTTGGGGAGCACAGGGGAGAGGCTGGTGGTCACCCGAGCATGGTTAAGAGTTCTGGCTCTGGAGCCAGGCGGACAGGATTTCGAATCTCAGCCTTGCCCTGGGTCAATTCAAACAGCTTTCTCCATGTCTCTGAGCCTCTGGTTCCTCATATGAAAGATGGGGCTGATATTTACTCGGTAGGATTTTTCTAGATGTGTTTTTCTAGATTAAATGTGATAATGCATATAGGCCTCAGCACAGTACTTGGCCCCGAGTTGGTGCTCAAAAATTGTCATTAAATTGGTGTTCAATTTGGGTATTAAAACTGGGGAGTCAAGATCCAGACACGTAGAAACAAATGAGTAGCTAAGAGCCCACTGACACTAAAGTGAACTATAAAATGCTGACTCTCACATGAGAAGGGGACAGTCAGAACAGTCACGTCAGCCACCACTGATCGAGTCCTTTCTCTGTGCTTTACAGTCATTCTCTCAGTTAGTCTTCACCCAGTGCTGTGAGGTGGGTGCCGTGGCTGCCCTAGAGACAGAAAACCTGAAGCCCAGGGCTGTTAAGGGACATGGGCCAAAGGTCACAGAGCCAGCAAGGCAAGTGATAAAGCCTGGGATCAGACTCAAGGCTGTGCAGCCAAGAGGCCACACTGCTTGCTCCCGGGTGTGACACAGTCCCTTTCCACACGGGTAGAGGACTGCCCTAGCCCGGGAAGCACGGCTGGAGTGGCCGTCCCCGTGGGCCAGGCTCTGCCCTCGAGAAAGCCTTATGGGCCTCTCACTGCACCATCACCCTCTTCCCTGGGTCACCCTCACCTTCTGTACCCACGATGCACTCTCCACTCCTGCTTGCTTTTCAGGAAACCTTGGTGCACCTTACGCCAGATCCTTCGTGGTCTGCCCCAGGAGTCTTGGGCTGTAGCCTTCCAAGCACTTAGTGTGGACTGGCTACTGTGTGGCCGCCAACATGGGTCGGCGGGTGGGGTGGGGTGGCTCTGACTACTTGCTCTGATGGCTGGGGGATCTTGGCTGTCTCCGGGGCCTTGCTCTGCCTTGAGGGTAGGAGCAGTAGATACCCAGATGTGGGCTGTCCTCAGCGGGGCCTGTGCTTTTTGTAGACAGATCTTGGAGCTGCCCTGGAAAGAGGACACTTTCTTGGTGTTGCAGTCACTGCTGGAGCGGCAGGTGAGCAGGCTGCCTTGGGGAAGGGTGGCTGAGGACGTGCCGCAGTGCTGTGGACAGGCGTGGGCCTCCTGGGTTTCTGGTCCCTCCGGGGATGGAGGCAAGCGGAACAGCTGCCCTGCAGCAAGCTGGGCTCTTGACAGTGGGTGAGTCCTAGGGCTTGAAAGGCTAGTAGCCGAGAGAGGACTGCATGGTAGAGCCCAGCTCCACTTCTTCCTAGCTGCGTGGCCTTGGGGAGGGACTGTGTGTGTGTGTGTGTGTGTGTGTGAAATTTTTTATTTATTTTATTTGTTTTATTTTATTTTTATTTTATTTTATTTTATTTATTTGAGAGAGAGGGAGCAAGTGAATGCAGGAGGGAGAGGGAGAGAGAATCTGAAGCAGACTCTATGCTGAGCACGAAGCCTGACAGGGGGCTCGATCCCATAATCCTGGGATCGTGACCTGAACAGAATTAAGAGTCAGATGCTTAACTGACTGAGCCACGAGGCACCCCAAATTTAATTTTATTTTTGAATAAATAAATAATAAACATATTCACAATTTTTTAAAAAGATTTTATTTATTTATTTGAACGAGAAAGACAGAGATAGCACGAATGGGGAGGAGAGGGAGAAGCAAACTCCCCGTGGAGCAGGGAGCCTGACGCGGGACTCGATCCCAGCTCAATCCCAAGACTTTGGGATCATGATCTGAGCCGAAGGCAGACACTTAACCAACTGAGCCACCCAGGCTCCCCTCACAAAATTTTTTTTAAGATTTTACTTATTTACTTGAGAGAGAGAGAGAGAGAGAGTGCATATGTGTGGGGGGAGCGGAGGAAGAGGGAGAGCCAGAATCCCAAGCAGACTCCCCACTCAGTGCAGAGCCCTACTTGGGGCTCAACCCCATCACCCTGAGATCATGACCTGAGCCGAAACCAAGAGTCAGATGCTTAACCGACTGAGGCACCCAGGTGCCTCTATGTTCACAAATTTTAAAGCTCAAAGGATATAGTGAAAAATGCCGCCCCCTCCCCGCCATCCAGACTCCCCTCTCCAGGGCTAGTCAGTGTTAGTGGGTTTCAGGGGAACTCTCCCAGAGATGCTTTTATATACAAGAACACGTGTTTAAGTTGACTTTTTGCCTACTTTTTTACGTAGATGGCAACACACCGAGCTCAGTGCTCTGTACTTTGCTTTTTTAACTTACAGTATATTTTTGCAATTTTGCCATATGACTACCTAAAGTTCCGCCTCATTTGTTTATAACTTAGGGAGCTGACCTAACCTCTTTACACCTCAGTTTTCCCCTCTACAAAAGGGGAGTGATGATAGTATATACCACACAAGGCCGGGGTGTGGTCGAAATGGTCATTGGTGTAAAATGCTCAGAACGGTGCCTGATGCATAACAAGTATTTATTAAATTATTATTAAGGAGAGCTATTGTTATTATGCTGGCAGTACCCTGGGGACTCCTTGCGCCTTTATATCTTCAACCACCAAGGGAGGCTGAGACCTGTGCGCCAGGCTTTATGTGTATTATTTCATTTAATTCTTTACCGTCTTTAGCGTTAGATATCATGAGCACCATTTTTACAGATGCAGAAACTGAGGCTTTGTTTGGTTATGTGACCTGTCTAGGGTTACTTAGTTAGAAAGTGGTAGAGGTCGGAATTGAATCCAGGGCGCTTTCTTCTCTTGTCTCATCTCCCAATGTGTGCAGGTGGAGATGACCCCTGAAAAGTTCAGTGTGTTGATGGAGAAGCTCTGTAAAGAGGGGCCAGTGGCCACCACATCTGTGGCCTATGCCAAGCTCATGCTGACGGTGATGACCAAGTATCAGGCCAGTGTGAGTATTGGTAGGGCCATGAGGGCTGGTCCTGCTGCTCTGAGTATGCCACGAGTGCGTACGTCTAGATGTTTGCCAGGGAAGACACCCTGAGTGTTAGCCAGGGAAACTACAAGTTCAAGCCTTGGGGGGGAACGAGACTGCTTAGGAGTTCATTCATCCAGCCCACACTGCCACGAGCCAGATGCTGTATGGGGCCCTGAGGAATCAACAGTGTCCATAACACAGTCCCTGTCCTTGACTTGACACTCTCCACCGGTGCCAGGCCAGTGAGGCGGGAGAGAGATGATAACCAGATCAGCACAGTATCTGGAAGGAGCCAGGCGAGAGGTGTGTGCGGGGCATTTGGTTGCAGAGGGGGAGGAGGCGCAACTAAACCTTGTTTGTGGTTGGGAGTTCAGACAGGCTGCTCAGCTCTGAAAGGGTGAGTGGTGGCCAAGGGCCAAGGCTGAGGAAAGGGCATTTCAGGCAAAGGAAACAGTATAAGCGATGAGCGTCCAAGGGGATCTACGGGTAGTAGCTGAGGCCTAAAAACATGAGAGTGGTTGGTGGTAGGGGTGAGGTTAGACGTCAGAATTAAAACACTGAGAGCTGATACCACAGAGCCCCCGCTACGGCTTAGGCACTGTTCGAAGCCCTTTGCTTATGTTAACTTGTTAGTTTATTCCGTGTGTTGGCCCAATGATAAAATACTATTATTAGCTCCATTTTATAGATGAGGAAGTTGAAACCCAGAAAGATTAAAGTGACCTGCCCAAGGTCCCATGGCCAGGCCATGCTAGCATCTTATGGAAGACCCTGTAGGTTATGATGAGGAGCATGGACTTTATCTTGACGGTCAGGTGTTCTTGGCTGTTGGCTCTTTACCTTTTTTGGGGAGTCACAGTCCCATCTGATGACTTGATGAAAGCTATAGATCCTCCCAGAAAAATGAAAATCTGAACACACATCTAATGCGCAATTTCAGGAGGCTCCTGGATCCTCTGGAGACCCTGTAGATCCTGGAAGAAGGGCCTCCAATATGAGACATTGGTAGTTATCCCAGGGTCCCGCTGAAGCTTGAGTGACTTGGTCAGATTTGCATTTTATAAAGGAGTCTCTGGCATCTATAAGGAGTGGAGACTGGAGAGAAGATACATGGCAGAGACCTGTCAGGAGGTTGTAGTGGTAGGTCAGGGAAGAAATAGCAGGCCCCATAAGGAATGTGGCAGCCACAACGGAGTATCTCTGACCCTCAGTTTTCTCATCTGTATAATGGGAGTGTTGTGCAGATTACGTGAAGTTATGTTTATAAAGTGTTGCTACGTAGTAAGCATCCAATAATTGTCATCTGTTATTAGTGTGGCTGACTTAGTAAGTTGAACAGTTAATATTTGACCGCAGGTCCACTTGAACACAAAGACCTTGTATAATCATGGTGAAGTAAAAGTAATGCATTTAGATAGCTCCTCCATTGTCCTTGTGTCCTGATTCCTCCCTCTTTCCTCCCAAACAGTGCCATGGGGCAGAGGGGAAAGGGGAAGGATCGGTTGCTGGAGTCCTGATATGATTCTTCCTTCTCCTCAGATCACTGAGATCCAGAGGCTGGGCCTGGCCACAGCCCTAGAGCTCAACACCACTTTCCTGAGGAAGTCCCTGAAGGCCGCCCTGAGACATCTGGCCCCCTGACCATGCACTAAGGGACCACACTCCTGGAGCTCCCTCACCAGCTGCCTGAAGGATACTTCTGCCCTCAGCACCTCATCCTGACCCCTTGCCTGGGGGTAAAGGCTGAGCCTGGCCAACCCAGGGGTCCGCTGCCTCCCTGTTCCAGGATGCAGAGAGGACATCTTGGCCTCCCAGCCAGCAGGGAAGGTCCTGGGCTAAGCAGCCTTGATGAGCTTTATTTCCAAGGGATGCTGACTTTGGGCTCACTCCTTGTCACTTTTACTTCAGACCGTGGGGACAGAAACTTTCTGAAAGGCCTCAGTAGGGTCAAAGCAGACCTAGGTAGATGAATGATGCTTCAGGATCCCTGAGGTAACCTGTGTCCTCAGCACAAATCTCTTGCGCTCAAGTGTATGTTATGACCCTCTGTGTTCTGACTTGGATAATTTATTAAAAAGCAGTTATTTAATAAAAAGCAGGAAGTTTTAATATTTTCTTCAAAGCAACGGCTGCCTTCCTATGAACTCTGGGTATTTGTTGAAACCCAACAGACACCACCACCACCCACCCTACTCAGTGACAAGGGGCATCTTTTTCCTGGTGAAGGTGACAAAGTTCTCAAGTTCATTCATTCAGGTTCTTGGCGATGATGTGTGATACCACTCCCCTCAGCCCTATCAGAGCTGTCTGTTGAGTGGGTGAAGTGTGCACTGACCCCTGGGGAATAGGGCCTTGAAGGTGGGTGCAGCTGTCTGGAGTTGCAGAAGGTTTGTTCATAGTAAACACTTAACTGGGTAGGTGTGATTCAATCAGCTATCAGCTACCTTCCCAGCTCTTCCCCACTGCAGGCTTCGAGGGGCCGGGAACAGAACTTTCACGACATTTCCCTTCTCACCACTTCTCTGAAACCATGAGCCCCAGAGCAAGATGATTAGGGAGAGGTCAGGAGTAAAGCCTGCTTTTGAGACCCGAAGCAGATGCGGTGGGCAGAAAAGGGTGGAGGGACAAACATGCGGGAACTGCACGCTCTCAGCGGCCATCACGCTGCGGTGCCCAGGACCAGCCTCTTAAGTGGCCGGCAGTAGCAGGCGCCAATGGGGATGTTGTCCGCGTGCCACGGGGCGCCCGGGACCGCCGCACCTCCTCGCCTTGGAGCCAGTTTAGTTGTGCAGCGCGCGGCAGCGCCGTCTAGCGGCCGCGGACGGCGGCGCTCCCCGGGATTGAGCTACCCGGCCGGGCTCGGGAGGAAGCCACAGGAAAAGGCATCTCGCGAGAACAAGAGCCTTATTTGAGCGCATGCGCGAATGAATTCTCTCCTTTCCGGTTACTGCGGCGCGAAGAGCTATGAGGTGAGTGGCGCTGGGGGAGCCATCCGCCCCCATCCGCGATTCCTGGCACCCTGGTAAGGAGGGAGATTTGCGGGCTGAATCGGGGGTGGTCTTTCCCCCTGTTTCGCTGAGGGGCATTTCTCGCCGGGCGTCGTCCTGTAGTCCCCGGCCCCCGGTAGGGTATCTCTTCCTCGGGGCTTGCTTCATTGTTGCGCCCAAATCGCCCGACGTGGTGTCCGGAATCCCCCCGGGTGGGGTGCGTCTGGAGGCCCGAGGCTTCCGACCGCGCCGAAGCCTCCAGGTGCCGAGCGCTCGTCTTGCGTCTCTCCCGCAGCAGCAAAGTCTCCCGCGACACCCTGTACGAGGCGGTGCGGGAAGTCCTGCACGGGAACCAGCGCAAGCGCCGGAAGTAAGCCCGGGCTCGGGGGGCAGGGCGGCGGCGTGGAAGCCGCGGGCGTCCGCCTGACTTTGTCGCCTTCTCTAAGGTTTTTGGAGACGGTGGAACTGCAGATCAGTCTGAAGAACTATGACCCTCAGAAGGACAAACGCTTCTCGGGCACCGTCAGGTTGGCACCGCTCTGACCCCACCCAGCCCTCCGTGCGCCCCCGTGCCCGTCGCCACCCTCCAGGCTCCTGTTGAGCTTGAGACGGGCGGGCGCGGGTGGCACGGACGCGCCTGGGTAGTTCAGACCCCCTGCCCCGGGCAGGCGTGGCTGGACGGACCCCCACCCTGGGTCTTAAAATAAGAGGGGAGGCGTGGGGAGGCCTTGGCCGAGCCCGCCGGCTAGTTTGAGAAGCTACACTAGCTGTTGGTGAATGTGGACGTTCTGGGTAAGGCTCCGTGGCTGCAGCGGTCCCAGGCCCCTTCACCTGCTTTCGGAACCCCACGCTGGGCTTGACCTCTTCTGTCCCCCAAAACGCAGGCTTAAGTCCACTCCCCGCCCCAAGTTCTCCGTATGTGTTTTGGGGGATCAGCAGCACTGTGATGAGGCCAAGGCAGTGGATATTCCTCACATGGATATTGAGGCGCTGAAGAAACTCAACAAGAATAAGAAATTAGTTAAGAAGTTGGGTGAGTGTGCCTTAGGGTGGTTTTGTATTTGGGCAGACAGTTGTCATGGGAGTGGTAGAAAAGTGGCGGTACTGCCATTTGGATTTTAAAATGATGGAAGAGGGTGCAGAGAATCATGATGGAAAAGATTGCTGTGGTGGGTTAACTTGAGTGGTAGTTTTTAACCTTTTAAAGATTCTTTTTATATTTGCTTTGAGGATTCTTTTTAAACAGGTGAGCTCCCCTAAGTTGACCAGTCAGGTGCTGGTATGTTCTGAAATAGGATTTCTACTTAAAACCCTCTCTCTCTTTTTTTCCTCCGTCTTTATCCTATGTGGTGGAAGCATTTCACAGATAGGAAACTGGTACCCTGGTTGTCCTGTAACTAGGAAGTAGGCAGGCAGGATTTGAACTCAAGGAGTCTTAACCAGTGTGTGCATTTACTATTGGAACATGAGGAGAGTGGGTCAGCCTGTCAGCTTCTGACACCAGGTTTCGTGTGAATGTTGGGCCAGTAAAAGTCTAGGGGATGGAGATAAGCTGGAATGAGGAGAGGATTAAAAAGAGTTGGTACGCGGAGAAGAGGAGTAGAGTGTGGTGGTTAGAGGCCACTCTCGTGGTTGGTTAACGGAACTGTTTGGAGCTTGCCTTCAGGAGGCCAGATCCTAAGCATCCAATGGCTTCTTTTTACCAGCCAAGAAGTATGACGCCTTTTTGGCCTCAGAATCTCTGATCAAGCAGATTCCACGAATCCTGGGCCCAGGCCTGAATAAGGCTGGCAAGTTCCCTTCCTTGCTGACCCACAATGAAAACATGGTGGCCAAAGTGGATGAAGTGAAGTCCACCATCAAATTCCAGATGAAGAAGGTAAGGAGGTCTGACTGGGTTACATAGGTTAAGCCATGGTGGTGGTAGGCACCACCAGTCCTGAAGTTTACCCCGATTCTCCAAATGGGAGCCCTGGTTTGCCTTTCTTTGGATATTTAGGATGTGTGACAGTCACTGGGCAGAAATGAAGTTTTTCACATAGCCCTGGTCTTCCTGGCCTGGGGTCAGAGTACTGTTCGTAGGGTCCCTGGAGGGGTGGGGAGGGATAGATGTGCCTACTCTGATTCTTTTCCATCTAGCCACCAGCCTGATTTGACTTCACTCTTCTCGCAGGTGCTGTGTCTGGCAGTGGCTGTTGGCCATGTGAAGATGACAGATGACGAGCTTGTGTACAACATCCACTTAGCAGTCAATTTCCTGGTGTCCTTGCTCAAGAAGAATTGGCAGAACGTCCGGGCTTTATACATCAAGAGCACCATGGGCAAGCCCCAGCGCCTGTACTAAGGCACAGTTCAATAAATCCTAGTGCTACCCTTACCTGTCTGCCTGTGACTAGGGAGAGGGAGGTGATTTGTGAGCTGACACTGCATGCCATAGCACTGTGCTGGTGATGGCAGTTTCTGGCACCCACTGATGGGTGGTCACGTTCTCCATACTGCAAACCCGGAAGTACATTCTACCTACCTTCAAAGCCATGTGGTCTTATTTAGATCTCTTGGATACTTTATAACATGTGATGGGCTGCTAACCAGGACTGAAGCTTTTCTGAACCCAGAGAAGGGCTAAGACTCCAGCTTCTAGTGCTCCCACTGCTTGCTAGTGGAAAGGGAGGGGGAGGGTAGGACCTTAACATTTTGAGCACATTGACTCCGTTTTCAGCAGCATGCTTAACCTGTGGCCTGAAGTTGCTTCTCTAACCGTGATTTCTTTCCCTGGGCTTCTTGTTTTAGCCCTCTAAATTGTGCATTTGAGCCGTTGGTAGCGATCACAATGTTCCAAATGGAGATTGGGTTCCTAGATTCTAAAAGATGGGAGGGGGCACAACCCTGATTTGCTTGTCTGACTAAATTAAATACTCTATTCAGGGTAGTAACTTACTGTGAGATGCTTAGGAAAACACAAGTAGGAGACCTATAAGATAATGTAATTGCCCCTGTTTTCTAGGAGAGTTTAGCAAATGGGTAGAATCAAGCTGTGGAAACTTAGGCCCTCTGCCCTCCAGGTAGGTAGGCTCTGCCCTCTTCCTGACCTGAGGCACTTCCCTGTTGGGTGTGGGTTTTGTTTTGTTTTAAGATTGTATTTGAGAAGGAGGGGGGGGGGGAGAAGACTCCGCACTGAGCAGGGAGGCTGATTGAGGGATCCCAGGACCCTGGGATCATGACCTTGAGCCAAAGGCAGGAGCCACCCAAGTGCCTCTTCCCTGTTGGAGTTCTTGCCTCCAGCACCAATTACTGGGAAGTTGGGTTTTGGTATGGGAAATCTCTCTGATTTTAAGTTAGTAATTTTGCTTAAAGGTAAAATGATTACAACCTAATCTTGGAATGAGTCTTGAATTTGGGTTCCAGGGTTAATAGGCGTAGTTTGCTCTTTGCTCTGCTCTATTAAAGCATTAGGAGTGATAAAATACCTATGCTTGTTAGACAATGTTCCAAACAGGGAGGGAAAAAAAGCTGTCGTATAAAACTAGCTGGGACCCAATTTTATGACAGAAAGTTTATGCAGAGTAAAAGTGATTGGAAGTTACTATATCAGAACGTTGGCCATACTTGGGCGCCTGGGTGGCTCGGTTAGGCGACTGCCTTCGGTTCAGATTGTGATCCTGGAGTCCCGGGAGCCCGCTTCTCCCTCTGACCCTCCCCCTCCCCATGCTCTATCTCATTCTCTACCCCTCAAAATCTTAAGAAAATGTTGGCCATGCTTAACTAGGGGAGAAAAATGGGATTTTCTGAAGTTCTACGATCTTTGTAATCGTAAGAAAAACCAAGGCAAAAAGGATATTTTGATGACTAAGGGAGTGTAATAAACGGCATTTGTCCGGCCTCCACAGTGTGTACGCTTGGGCTGAGAGCCACAGGGCAGAAGCCTCAAGTCCTCAAAGTTTGCTAGGCTGGGCCCCAGCTCCATGGCAAGCACCCAGTCCTGAGGGCCTCGGTGGGCAGGGGGTCTGAGCCCGAGACCAGAGAGACGTTTCTGTTCCACCAGGAGCCACGCTGTCCTGACAGCTGTGGAGCGAAGAGTTTTAGAGGCGGGTTTCTCACTTCCCATGTCTAGTCAACTGTGTAGTGGGTGCAAGAAGGCTGCCCCATGATTGCCTGCGGGCAGAACCCCTCCCACTCCCTGAGTTTGAATATCCCAGTTCTCCATTCAGGAGGACTGTGAGCCTGTCGAGTGTTCTCAAAACGGTTTCCTCATCTGAAAGTGCAGATGATTGCGCCTCCCTAAAAGCAGGACCACATTCAAAGCGTTACCGTGCTTTGTGCGGTGCCAGGCTCTTAGCGCTCAAAACAGCAGCTGTGAAACGGCAATCACGTGTAGCTACAGACAGACGGGTTCCAGCCCCAGCGCACAAATATCTGCTTGTCTGACTCACTTGGGTTTAGGTGCTGAGGAATGGGGAGAACAAGGTGGCTTCAAAATTAGTCACGCCTTCCTGTTTGAAATGAGCCAAGGATTAAACATTTTTTAATAGTTTTGGAAACTCGAGGGGAGGGCAAGTGGGCGTTTTACAAATACTTGGGAACTTGAGTCTTCCTGGACTATTGATTTGAGTCACGTGGATTTAAATCAGACCCATTCTATCAAGCCTTACGCACTGGGGTGGGAATCCTTAAAAATCCACTATATTAAGCAAAAGCTGACTCACTGCTTTCTGCTGGGCTGTGGGGAATCTGTAGATTCCCTGCTCTCCAGAGGCCCACAGCACCACAAGAAAGAGGAGCAGGCAGCAGAAGGGAAAGCAAAGGGAAAACGTGTGGAGGCCGGCTGATTCCACTGTGAATGAAGTTGGCTGTCTAACGAAGTCCCAGCCTCTGGGATGATTAGTCTAAGGCTTAGTGTGCACCTGAGTTAGAATTCAGGGTTCAGCTATCTGGAGAGCCCCAGTTCTCAGGTATTTGTGCTACAGGGAAATAAAGAGCCCCTGTGAAACATCAGAATGGTGCCTAGGCCTTGAGTGTGGCGTTGACCACAAAAATGGCATTCCTCCCTCTTCCTTGGGAACCTCAGAACAGGAACAGGGCAGGAAAGACAGAACTACAGTCCCGGTCTTTGAGGTCCAGCCATCTTGGCCCTTCCTTAGAGCTTCCCACAGAACCCGGAGCAGGGGAGAGCCACTTCTAGGAGAGGGCCCTAGGCTTTGGACTCAACAAGATTTACCTTCTTATTCTGGTTCCTTCCTTACTTTGGAACCTTGAAACTAGTCATCACCGACCTCTGGCTCTGTTACATTGGGGAGGGGGGCGCAGTGGTGGGGCAGGGTGGAGTGGGGTCGGGGGAGACAAGCAAGGAGGCCAGCCATATTCCACTTGAGCTTTCTGCATGAGACCTACATGATTCTAAAAGAAATTACCCGAAGGCTGTTTACTCTGGGAGAGTGAAGGCAACAATGCACGTGATGATGCCTCAAGCACCCAAATAGACTGAATTACCTGTTAGCCCAGAGATTGGATTTTGCATCCAGTCTTAGGCCTGGCACATGGTGGGTCCTTCATAAACCACTTTCTGACTCCAGGACCCCCACCTACCTGCGTGGGGCTCCAGGCACCGTCCCCATCCCGCAAGTGACAGCCTGGGGTCCATCCAATGTTGTGGACTAAGACAAAAGGCTACCTGATTTAAATAGTCTACCACATGCATGGGCTTGGGAGTCAGGCTGACCAGATTCAAATCATGGTGTAGCCAGTGACCAGCTCGGTGAAGAGAACATTTAACTTCAGTCTGTTTCCCCATCTGCAAACCTGGATCAGAATGATCTAGAAAACAAGAGATTCTAGAGTAGGGTTGCCAGATGTAGCAAATGAAAATACAGGATGCTCATTTAAATCTGAACTTCAGACAAACAACGCATGTCACCTCCCCCTACCCCTCCCGTGGCCCCTGCAGTATGAGCACAAGCCAGCTCAGAGAGAGCAGGGCTCTCCCAGGCAGACAAGAGCAGGTTGGAATCTGGCTTCCCCTGCTAGCAGCCATCCCCTTAGGAGAACACTCATCCTCCTTGAGGCTCTCTTCTCTGCTCTCGAGGATAGGACAGTGAGAACCAGTAGCAGCCATCATGAAGACTGGGGAGTTAGCAGGGGCTCCATGTCAGCAGTTGTGTGACCTTGGGCACGTCACTTCAAAGAGACAACTGAACCTAGGCCAGCACTGGGCACATTTCAGCACTCAACTCACAGCAGGAAGGGGTCAGAAAAAGGGAGTCTGCAAAGCTGTTATGGGATCTTTGAATCAGACCTATTTTGAGTGTGGGTATGGTGTGGGCCCCCCCCCCAGCAGAGATGGGGGAGGGTGGGGTGACACATCAGGACCTAACCTAGCAGGAGCACCCACATGAAGCTAATCCAACCCGGAGAGGTCTGCCACACACTAGTTACACAACTAACCCACAAACAAATAACTTTAATTTTTTTTTTTTTTTTTTTTTTTTTTTTGGAGCAGGAGCCGGGCCTTGAGGACCCCTGCCCCAGCCCCGCGCCATGTTTACAATATAACCCATCACAGCTGGATTTAAAAAATACACAAAAAAATATAATATACATTATAAAACCTAGGTTGGGTTTGGAAGTGGCCTGAGCAATATGCAAACTGTGAAGACCTTCAGGAAGCTCAGGGGCGGGCGGTGTAAGGAAGGGAAGGGGCACAGTACTTCATATGAAACTTGTCAATGCCCAGAGGCGGCTGGTAGACAGGCCAAGCTGGCTGAGGACTCTGGGTGTTGGGGAGGAGCAGCAGGGGAAAGGTGAACCTTCAGTCCCAGAACTGGCTCTGGGGAGCTGCTACTCCAGGCCTGAGAGACTGGAGGTGGACAGAAACGTAAGGGAGTGGTGCCCACCGAGGGCTCACCAAACCCAAATCTTGGGCATTTGAAAACATCAAATCCTTCTGCTACCCCTTGTCCCTGGGACACTGGTCTGCCCAGAGGCTGGGACTCCCATCTTCCTACTTGACCCTCCAAGCTATTTTGGAGCCTGCCCCTGGGGGCCTTTTCCCATCAGGAAGGTGCTGAGGGGCTCAGGCCCCGGATGTGGGCCGGAGCAGCTTGGAGGAGGTCAGCACAGGGGCTCCCGAGGCCCTGGCTGCACTGTGGGCTGACAGAGGGCACCTAACAGGTGCCAAGCACCTGCTGCTCCTCTTTTCTTGCCTGGTCAGAAGCAGCTGCTCCCCTGGGAGGAGGCCCCCAAACTTCTCAGAGTTTCAGCCCATCATGAGACACCAAGACCCACGCTTGCCTTGCACGGTCTGAGAGAGGCGACAGGCACACGGAGGGCCTAGCACCAGGCCCGGCACACCGCAGGTGCAAGAAAAAGTGTGGGCCCCGTCTCTCCTTCTCACCCTAACCCCCAACTTGACACTCTCCTTCCTGGGGCCTCTGCACTCTCACCCCTTCGATCTCCATTCTACCCTCCCCTGCCGGCCACACATGCCTGAGCCCGAAGGGGTCAGATCCGCTCACTGGAGGCTGGGCAGAGCTGGGTGATGGTTCAGCGTCCGGGGCAGGCTGCCCCACCACAGAGCCCTCCTCTCTTCTCCCACAGTTAAAGCGCAGAACAGTGGCAGGGAGTGTGTGTGCTGGGGGGTAGGTGGGGAGGCCTCCTGGGCCCAGGGCCTGAGGCCTGGTAGGCGGATGAGTCCTCAATCCAGACCTCCAGAGCGGGGGGGGCCAGGCAGGTGTGTGGAAAAGATGCTTGTCCTGGATCCTGGTGCTGGGGGCCGACGGTGGCCTAGTCTTTGACGAGCTTGTAGACATGGTGCTGGGCCCCGTGCTCGCTGGTGGAGACTTCAAAGACGAAAGCAATGACAAGCAGGGTCTCCTGGGAGTCCCGGCTCGTGACCACCTGGGGGCCAGGTAGGAGGATGCAAGGGGTCAGGCGGCACAGGGCCACAGGGGGACAGGGGCTGAGAAGACCCTTCTCCTTTCTGGACAGCAGTCTCCTCACCTGAGCCATGGGGCTGGCCACCCCCACTTTGAGGCCCCGTGCCCCCCACGCGCCCTGCTGCCCCTTCCCCCCCACCTGCAGGATGGTGAAGTTCTCCAGGACGCTGTTCATCATGTACTTCTCCGGCAGGTGCTTCAGCTTGTGGATGAAGTTGATCATGTACTCGCACATGGGGGAGCGGTGGATGCGGTACACGAAGCGCCCATTCTCCAGCCTGGCGTACTCCGTCTGCGCACAGCCGCGGGGAAGGTGTCACCCCACGTGCTTGCTCCCGGCCCCTCCGTGCCACCCTGGGCCCCCACTCACCTCTACCTTCTCCACCACCTGCTTGCCAAAGGAGCACACCTTGGTGGAGACGCTGATGGTCATGCTATCGGCCGAGCTATACTGAGAGCTGACCCCATAGAAGGCTCCGGGGCCCTCCTGGATGGTGCTGTTGAGGTCGGCCTGCAGGGGGGGCGGGGGGGGAGCCAGGGTGGCGTCAGGTGTGGGCAGAGGCCAGGGGGAGCCTTCCCGCCACGCCAAATCAGTGTTTCGCCGCAGGACCCATCCCCAGCATCCTGCCCACGGGCCACAGGGTCCCCGGTGGGCGGGGTGGGCCCAGGTGCGCTGCGCATGCTGGGGAGGGGGTGGTCGGGAGCAGAGAGGGCAGCTCACCCAGAACTTGACAAGGAAGAAGGCGTTAGGGGGTCCCTTCTCATAGAGTTCCTTCAGTCCACCCTTCTTCTCAGGGAACTTGTCATAGATCTGACGCACGTCGACGGCCTCCAGCGGCGGGTCTGAGAAGGCAGGGTTCGTCTGGCCGATGTGCACAAATAGGTGTTTGCTGTACTGTGGGGAGGGCCCGGTACGGGGTCAGGGGAGCACTCAGGACACGACTGCCCTGGGGCTTCCCGAGCCCAGGCCCCTGAGCCGCGGCCCTGAACCCCAGGCTTGCGCAAACCCCGACCCCCACCGCCAGGCACGTTACCGTGTCAGGGTCTCGCTGCACCTCCATGAAGGCCGAATACTCGAGGAGCCGCAGCCGGGAGGAGGCGATGGTGCGGTCCTGCCACACGGGCACAGAGGCAGCAGCTGGGGGGAGCGGGGTCAGGGGCTCGTAACCTGGGAGGGCGAGATGGACCCTCATCTGCATGGGCGTGTGCGCATGCTTACGTACGGAGCTGCCCCCCAGCTGCACGGAGCCACTGGGTGAACTGGAAAATGGCGCCCCTTTCGGGGAGGAACACAGGCTGGATTTTGAGCCCTCTGCCACATCCCCTTGTACAGTGTACCACCTGCACGACTGTGCAGGGTGGCCGCAGGAGCATACATGGGGGGTGGTGGTTTATGTCACTATTAATGTGTGTCCAAACAAAATACAGATGAGTAAAAAGGGAATAATAATAATTATCCCGAATCCCAATACCTAGACAGAGTGATACTCCGTTAAGATTTTGGTATATTTCCGTAGATGAATTTTATAAATATATATCAATGTAGTATCTTCATTTGTGTACAACACTGTGAAAGGTAAGGGGCCTGTTCGCGGCCTTCCCAATCCCCTATAGACGCCACCCACTTGTCCCTCCCAAAGACAGGCACAGCCTTGGGCGCCTGCTCTTCTGAGCAGTGGTGCGGGTGTGGAGGGGCAGAGGGGCGGCGGCGGCGGTCTCGTGTGGGGAACTTACTGCTGAGCGTGGGCGGCAGGGGCGGCTGGATGGGGTAGGCTGGCTGTGCAAAGGGCTTGATGCTGCGGACAGGAGCACAGCCTGGTTAGAGGGTCACCCCCCCAGCCCCACCTTCCACCTGGTCCCGTCACTTGGGAGTGTCATCTGGTCTCAACAGGGAGCCACCCCGCCTTTCTGCAAAGGCCCAGAAATGCACGCCGGCAAGCGAACTCACCCACTTTGGGTTTTCTCCACATTTGAGCTTTTATGAAACCCTGCTGCATCTCACAACTGAGGTGCACGCTTCATGTGGCCTTTCAACCCCACCCTGAGAGCTGCTCATTAAACTGAGGGTGTGTCTGTGGATGAAAGTCCTCTCAGAGCCCAGGGAACCCAGCAGCCTCGACTTCCCCACGTGCCGACCCAGAGACTGACCGACAGCAACGGAGGGAGAAGTAACTGAAGGGCGGGCAGACAGACAAGTGGATGAGGAGGCTGATGAATGGACAGACGCACAGCTCTTACTGGCGCTCTCCATCCTCTATTTCTGAATTAAAACGTGCCTCAGCTGTTGCTGGCGCCTGGCTCATAGGGGAAGTCCCAGCGGCCGCCAGGGCCCAGGGTGGGAGAGGGCTGCACCTCGATACTCACTCCTGAGAGGGTCCAGGCTGCTGTCCCAGGAGAGGGGGGCTGCTCCAGAACTGCAGGGAGGGGACAAAGCCCAGCGGCTCCTCAGCACCCACCACCGCCGCCACCGCCCAGCCCCGAAGGCACTCCCTCACCTCAGCTCCCCCAACCCAGGCCCCCAGTACCCGTGAGGAAGTGGAGAAAACGCCTTGGGGCAGAGGGGAGGGCGGGCTGAACTTGTTCTGTAGGACGCTGGCGGAGACGATCTGGGCGGATGACATGGATGCCATGCTCTGGAGGGCCTTGTCCTTGGAGACCTGGTCCTGGGGAGGGGAGAGGCCGCATGGGGACGGGCCAGGTCAGAGACGGGGCTGGGGCTTGCCTCCCCTCAGGGCCCCTCCCAGGCCCTCAGGGGTCTGTTGTGTGGGCTCGGGAGAGTCTCAGCCCCTGCCTGGGCCTGTCCTCCTAAGAGGACCTCACTTCTCTGAGTCCGGTCCACGGTAAGAAATTATTTTATTCCATAACCCAGTATATACCTGAGCACTTCCCCTTATGTTGTGTGGCACGCGCTCTCCTATTTCCTAGTCTGTTTCATCAGTGGTTCTCAAAGTATGGTCCGTGGACCAACGGCACCAGCATCACTGGAAGCTTGTTAGAAATGCAAAGTCTCGGGCCCCAGCCCAGACCCACTGATTCAGAAACTCTGGGGGTGAAGCCCAGAAATCTGTCTTCAGCAGCCCTCCCGGCGATTCTGATGCATGCTAAAGTTTGAGAACCACTACATCTCATTTTTAAACAATGTCAGCTGCCAACCTATTAAATTAATCTCACAATTCATAATTTGGAAATCCTGTGTTAGATGTTCTCCCCCCTCCCACATCGTCCCCCAGGGGAGGGAGGGGCAGGCTACTTACCAGGTTCATGGCCTGTGAAGGAGAGGGAAGGTAGATTAGAAGAGGCACACGTGAGGGTGATGCAGGGGGGGGACGCGCCCTTTCACCCCTCTCCACTCAACGGCCACCTGGCTCTCGGGTCTGAGGAACCCAGGGGAGCTCAGAGGCAGCTGTGGACCCTCCCACAATCCCACTGCTACCCAGGGGGAGGGCTTCTTAGCTGGGGGTGCCCTGCAAAGGGCAGGATGAGGGAGGGCAGGCTGGAGACCTAGAGGGTGGACCACGCTGTCGCCCCTGGGGTCTGTCCGCGTCCTCTGGAGCTGTGATATAGGCACGGGGGCCTGGAGCGGGAGGCCTAGTCTGCTGCGCAGCCGGGAAGCAGGTAGAAGACACGGCCTACAGGGGCCCTGAGCCCCATGCTCTGAGACCCTCAGCCGCAGAGCAGCCAAGATTGGGCATCCAGTGCAAGGGGCAGCCAGGCCCACCACCACAGCTCTGCCAGCCGATGCGCCCGTGTCTCCTCCCTGCCCACCTGAAGGCCCCGTGCAATTAACAAGCAGCAATCAGGAGGAAGGAGAAAAAGGAAAAGGAAGAAGAAGAGAGGTGGGCCCTAGTGGCCCCCAGATGGTCTTCCTCTCCCTCACTGTAGGGCTGGCTGTCCCCCTGGGCTTCTGCTTAGTCTCCAGGGGCTGTGGCCCTCTGTAGCCGGAAGCAGCCTTTGGGCTTCATGCTGCTCTTTGTGTTTGAGACACCCTCCGCCCCACCAGAGCCCTTCAGCCGCCTCTCTGCCCTCCGCTCAGAACACAGTAGGGCCAGGCCAAGTGGCAGGGGACCCCCTACCTTCAGCTTGGACTGAATCTCTCGAGATTTCCGCCTGGCTAGAACCTGCAAGTGGCTAGAGACCTGTAGAAAGAGAGAGAAAGGGAGAAAAAGAGCAGAAAGGGCAGAAGAGGCAAGAACAGAGCTTTAGCCAGAAAAGAGGCACAGTGGGGCCAGAGAGGCGGCCGTGGCAGAGGCCTGAGCCGTGCAGAGAGAGGTAGAGGCGCCGAGGAGGGACTGGAGGCCCTGGTCAGGCGCCCAACGTACCTTGATGCCAACCTGGTACTCCCGCACCTTCTTCCGAGCTAGAACCTGTATGTGGCTGGACACCTAGGGGCCGCCCCGCGCCCCGCCAGAGAGGAAAACACAGACAGTGAGGAGGCACGGCATGAGGTGGCCGGGGGCAAGGAGCATCCCAGCCCTCGTCTCTGGGAACAAATGGAAGCAAGGGGGAGCTATGGGGCCCTTGTGAACAGACATCCCTGAGCCCTGCCAATTCTCTGCTCTCTTCTTGGCCCTATTTTGATCAAGAGCTACTAAGTAGCCTTCAGTACCACCATGTACAGTTGTATAGGTTGTTCACTGCATAAGAGGATCTAACCCAGTAAGGGCTAAACTCCAGCCCAAGCTGTGCTGCTCAAGTTATGTGCCCTGGTGCTGAGCTGCTTCTAACCCAGAGGAAGGGTATCTTTTTATTTTTCCAAAACGGGTGACTTTTTCCTGACTGATATCCTCAGAAGAGACACCTTTTTTTTTTTTTTTTAAGATTTCTTTATTTATTCAAGTAATCCCAACACCCAATGTGGGGCTCGAACTCACAACCCCGAGATTAAAAGTAGCATGCTCGGGGCGCCTGGGTGGCTTAAGTGTCTGCCTTCGGCCCAGGTCATGATCCCAGGCTCCTGGGATCGAGTCCTGCATCGGGCTCCTTGCTCAGCAGAGAGCCTGCTTCTCCCTCCCCCTCTGCCTGCCGCTCCCCTTGCTTGTGCTCTCTCTCTCTCTACCTCCCTCTCTCTGTGTCAAATAAATAACTAAATAAAATCTTAAAAAAAAAAAAAAAAGTCGCATGCTCTAGCGACTGAGCCAGCCAGGCGCCAGAGACACTTTTCTCTGATTGGCATCACCAATGGCCATAATGCCCGTGCTGGCCATCAGAGCATACATCGGGGCCAGGTCCTCTACAAAACCGCTCCCCGCACCACTGCCTAAGTCCTCGTGTCACCCCAACAGCTTGCCAGCCTATCAGACCAGGCCTGGCCCTGTTCCTGTTCTGCTCATTCAGCTTCTTCCCCCAACATGCCTTCCTTCCCCCTGGACTAATATACGGCAGGACACACACACACACACGCACACACACACACACACACAAGGTAGATGCTGTTAATAGCAGTTCTTCTCTAGCACATTGTCAAAGATCTGACCCTTAAGCCTCAGAGAACCTAACTGTCCCTATTTTCCCCACGAAACAGAAGGGGACACATGGATCCCCGAGGCTGCTGCACACTCATGATCCACAGTGGCTGTGGGCTTTCTTTGCAAGTTGTTTTCCCCCCACAAAGACGCAGTTTCTTTTTCTTTTTAATCATAGACCGAAAGTTACTGTGTATGTGATGCCCCGGAGCCCCCTGCTAGTTGGTTAGGACCCAGGAGGATGTGCCCCATACCGCCTCATCGGGCACCAGAATCAGATGTCTGTCCAGCAAGATCACCCATCACTTCAGATCATGACATTTACTGAGTTGCTATGACCGCTCTCAGCATTTTACATGTACCTCCTCTGACCCTTACTAAGAAGTCAGTACTAACATTATCCCTCAAGTTACAGATGAAACCAGCACACAGAGAAGTTAAGCAGTTTATCCAAGGTCACACAGCTGGGGGATGGAGCTGGGATTTGAACCTAGGTGGCCTGACTCCCGAGCCTACTTGCTCCACCACCAAGCTACACTCCCAGGATTCTTCTGACCCTTAGCACAGAGGACCACTGCCAAATGGCCAAGTCTGTGACAGCTGAAAGTCACATGGGACTTAATCCTAATGTAATATTTAGCTGTTTTTCCAGTATGGAAGCATCGCACTTGCTATTATTGCTGTATGTATCTGTAAAATCCCTAACACTGCATTTTTTTTTAACCAAAAGTAAAACAGAAACCCTTCCCTGTCACCTGGTTGCTCTTTGTACCACATAAAGACATGCTTTGCCCTCACAAACATAGGATGGGTCTGTCTGTCTTACCTACCTACCTACCTACCCAATTTTTCTTAAGGCTTTATTTTTTTAAGTAATCTCTACACCCAGTGTGGGGCTCAAACTCATGACCCTTAGATCAAGAGTCGTCCACTTTACCAACTGAGCCGGCCGGCACCCTGGCTTTCTGCTTATTAAGACGTAACAATAATCACAAGGGCAGCGGCACGTTCTTCTATAAGCACTTACTCTGTTCTAAAGCATCTTCACGTATTAGCTAATTTAATGGCCGAGGACCAGAAGCTGAGGGGCAAAGCACCCCTTGCCCGCAGGGAGGGGTGAGGGTATTTGTACCTGGAGGTTTGACTCGTCAGCCCTCCTCCTACAGTCCCAAGCACCAGGGAACAGGGCCCCTGTCTGTGGGGTTCCCCTGGGTAGCCCCAGTGCCTAGCACACAGTCGTAGCTCAAGGATTCGCTCACTGCGGGGCGCCTGGGCGGCTCAGTCGTTAAGTGACGGCCTTCGGCTCAGGTCATGATCCCAGGGTCCTGGGATCGAGCCCCGCATCGGGCTCCCTGCTCGGCGGGAAGCCTGCTTCTCCGGCTCCCACTCCCCCTACTTGTGTTCCCTCTCTCGCTGTCTCTCTCTCTGTCAAACAAACAAACAAACAAATAAATAGAATTCGCTCACTGAATAAACCTGTCCCACATGAACTGGCCCCGGAAGAGAGGTTCATAAATGCCTGAGCAAATGGGGGAGGCTCCTGCTCCCACACTGAGGGGGTGGACTCAGAACCTGCCTTTGAGACGGCGGGATGGGACACGGCGCCTCTGTCATCTGCACACATGGGGATCTGGGGAGGTGGGTGCAAGGTCCAAACCCCAGCAGACAGGGAGGCTGGGAGAGTCGAGGATCAGAAGCAGCTTCCGGTCCTCCCATCTCTGCACCCAGCCTGCCTCTCTCCCGGGCACCCTGCACGTCAGCCACCCCAACCAGCGCCCTTTCTGGGTTCCCTCCCGGGACCGGAAGCCGCCCAGTCATCTCTCCATGCTCCCACCGCCGCTGGGGACCTCCGTTCCTGCCTCTGCCCGGCCCTCCCTCATCCATGGCCCAGCTGCTCCAGGGCCAACATTCCTTGACAGATGCCACCCGCCACTCCCTGTTCTAGTTCCTTCCATGGCACCCAGCTGCCCCGAGGGGAAACCTGTCCCTCAGGCCTCGGGCCAACCTCCCTCCCTGTCCTCAGCTCTCCCCACCCCTCTCTCCACCCACCACACTGCTGACGGATGGCTCTTTCCTGCCCAGTGGGTTCAATCCTGGATCCACCCCACCTACCAGCTGAGTGACCTTGAGGAAGTTACCTAACTTCCCCCTGCCTCCGTGTTTTCATCTGGAAGACGGAGATAATTATTAGACCTACCTCCTGAGGTGGCTGTGAGGGATACACAGATTCACAGAACGTAAGCCCCGTGTGGGTTCCCAGGGATTCTATGTATGTCCGACTTCCTCGGCCTGCAAGAACCTCTCCCCTTTTCTCTGCCGGGTTAAACCCCGAATTCCTCCTTAAAAACGCATCTTGGGTGTTAACCTCCTCCGGAAAGCCTTGGCAGCCCCTTCCCGCCTTGCCCTGCCGGGTCCAGCTTCGACCCCTGGCCGACAGCACACACTCACCCTTGGCTGGGCCACGCCGCCCTGCTCTGCCCTCGTGGGTCATTGCCACCGGTCGGTCGGGGCACCACTCCGGGCCGTGACCACGCCAGGCTGCAGGTGCCCCATGGGGCTCACCTCTGGTCACTGAACCCAAGGCCCCGGGTGGGGTGGTGGCTGGTCTCAGAGGGCAGTGCCCCTTTCTCTACGACCGCGGGAAGAGCAGCCCGGGGAGCGTGAGGTCCCTCGGGAGAGGAAGGGGCACAGGGAGGGGCTGAAGGGGGCCGCTGAGGGAGAACGCGCCGTGGGCAGACGGCATGGAGCACGCATCCTCTCCCCACCTGTTTTCTCGTCCGAGTCTTCCCGGTCCTCAATTTAATGTAGCGTGCAATCAACTCATTTCGACCTGGAGTGGGGTGAGAGAAGGGTGAAGAGTTGGCCAAGGGGGGCACCCGGTGGCTGCAGGCCCCCCAGCCCCCGCTGCGAAACACACAGGCCCCTCCCCCAACCCTGCTCTTCTGCCCCCTCTTCACCCCAAGGGGCACACGCAGGCAGGCAAGGGGTGGCGGGGAGCCCCAGGGCCTGGGGGGCTGCTGGTTGGGGGAGGTGTGAGTAGGGGGCAGCAGGGTGGGAGGGGACAAGGTCAGGGGGCCCAACAGGTTTCCCTGCACACAGACGGGGCAGGTGTGGCCACGGGGCAGCAGGGCAGCTGGACCGCTCACCCCTACCCCACTCCTAGCCCTACTCCTAGCCCCGGCAGCACCTCCTTCCTCCCCGTGCGTGACGCCAGTTCCAAATCTTTAAGTGTAAGTGTTCACGTGTGAGCGAGGCCCGCCGTGGGCGGCACCCGGCCCCGCACACGTCCTCATGCGAGTCTGGAAGGTGGTTTCCCAACCCAGCTATCCTTGCCATAAGGGGAGACCCTGGACAAGTCCCCTCCCTCACCTGGCGAAATGGGCAGGAAGGACCCAGTGGTCTCCAGCACACCCCCCACACGGATGGCCCGTGTTGGGATGTCCCCAAGCCCAACACTGTGTCCCTGAGCCTGTCACCCTCATGTCCCAGGTTACCAGTGTCTCTCCTGCCCTGTGAGATGCTGACAGATGCTGAGCCAATACCTTCTATCCCCCCAGTCCAGGCCCCCAGCCCCACAACCCCACAACCTCCCCAGAAGGGCCACATTCTCCAGATTCCTCTTCCATGACAGAACCAGCCCCACTGCTCCTCCCTTCCTGCCTGCCCCTCTCCACCCCACTCCCTCCGCCCTGTCTAAACATACCCTGTGGGGCTGCCCCAGCCATCTGGGAGGTAGCCGTGGGGGAAGCACCCTGGGACATCTGCCTGCCCGGTGCGCGAGGGGGCTCCGGGGCAAGGGGTGGGCGTGGCACAGTGGCTGGGGACAGGGGACACGGCAGCCCTTACCACTTGGCCCAGCTGTCTCCTTCCCGCACCCTGCCATGGTACTGGCCGCTGGGATGGGATGGGCCGAGGGCCTGCCTCACTCAGCCATAGGCTGTCAGGGAGGGTTGGAGGGAGCTGGAAAGGAGCCAGGCCCAGAAGGGTTGAGTTATCCCAAAAATGCAGCTCTGGGAGAGCCCTCTCAGGGCTGGACAAGAGGGGGACACTCCCTTCTGGAGGCAGGAGATGGGCAAGGTAGCAGAGAGCGGGCCAGGAGAGCAGGAGAGACTTGGCGGCGTGGCGGGGGGCGGGGGGGGAATGGTTGAAGGGTCTGAGGAACGAAGGAGTCCCCTTGTCTCTCCAGCCCTCTTCCTAACACAGGCCCTTGTCACAGCTGGGCCTTCCCCACCCCCCCTCATACCCATGCACTGGACGGAACTCGCCAGTAGGACACCCCGGGTCTCACCCCTTGGGCTTCCCCACACGTCGGGGAGGGGGGGGGACCCTCTCCCAGGACTGGCCTGGAGCACCCAGCACTGACCCAGTTTCCTGTGTCCACTGAGTCACCCTGAAACCCGCAGGCCAGCAGGGGGAGGAGAGGAGGAGCAGACGGGGGTGTCGAGGTGTGGGCCCCAATCTGGTGGAGGGGGCAAGCCTGGCTTGTTTATGAGGAGGATCCAGACACACAGGCTCACACGCCCAGACTCGCCCGTGGCGGGCTGGCGGGCTCGCAGGACTTCGCCAAACCGGTTGGGTGAGGGGGCAGAGAGCGGGGGGCGGGGCCTGGGAGGGCCAGGCCGCCTCCCCTAGTCCCGTCCAGTGTCCCCGTGTCTCCCCACACGCACCGTACATCTTGCCCTCGTCTGACAGGATGATTTTGCGGCGGCCGCAGGGCGGGTAGATGGCCAGGGCCTCCTGGAAGCTCTGCTCGATGTCGGGGCTCCACACGCCCTCCGCGTCGTTGTCCAGCCCCTTGTCCAGGCCCTCGGGCCCGTCCTCCCGGGCCTCCCCGGGGCTGCTGCTGGCATTCCAGCTGCTGGACGCTATCGTGCTGGTTGCTCTGGGCTCTGGGCCTGAGCCCACTGGGCAGCCGGAGCCTGCGGGGCAGGCACAGACGGGTTAGGAGATCGGAGCCATCTCCCACCCAGGGGCAGGGCCTGGGGGGAGGCGGGGTATGCTTACTCAGTGCTGTGCAGCCTTAAATGAGCTACCTCACCTCTCTGAGCTTCGGTCCCATAAGATGAGGGAAAAGGTCTCCTTGAGGTCGTGAGGGTTAACATTAAATGAGATCACGACAAAGGACCAACCACAATGCCTGGCTCATAACACTCAAGACATAGGACCGGTGGTGATCAGTAACAACAATAACACCTCATATCTACAAGGCACTTTTGTGGGCAAAAAGCACGTTCATACTCACTCAATCCTCAAAACTAAGGCAGGGAGGGTGAGGAGTGATACCCATTATTCAGATGGGACCCTGAGGTTCACAGTCATGCCGCGATGAGAGGGGCAGGGGGCCTGCTGGGTGTTTCTGCAGTTTCTGCAGCTCCTCCTCCTGCCATCGGCAGCCCCCAACTGGGGACCTTCACCCTCCTCGTTCTCCCCCCAGCCTCAGCGCAACCCTGCTGAAGACCCGCTGTGGGAGGGGAAGGGCCCTGGACCTAAGAAGGGTGTGGTTTTGACTTCCCTAAAAGATAACTCCCAGGAGCACGGCCAAGGAACCTAAACATGGGGCAGGGACCGCCCCAGGAATCGCAAGGAGGGAGCGATGCTGGTTGGCAAGGGAGCAGCTGAGAAGGTGCCTGGCCCATAGCCTTGCTCAACCCCACCGGCTCCTCCATCCCACTTCCTGTTCCTGCACCTCCCGGCCCCACAGCGGCCCGTAAACCACCCACATGCCTGCCCCTGCCCTGGCCTACATCGCAGATGGGCCAGGACTCTGTAAACTCTGAGTTCCCTGCACACGCCAGGCTGGGCTATTAACTGAGACCACACCCGGCAGTCCCCCCAACACACACAGCTCCGAGGCTCATCCCTAACCCCCTTCAGCCTCAGACTCTGCATGCTCAACGTCCAGGGAGCCTCGGAGCCTAAGATGGCTAGATCCAGAGACTTTGCTCTGGTCTGCAGGGAAAGCTGGGGTGGGGTAGGGGGTAGGTAGGGTGGAGGGGGTGGGAGACCCCTCTGAAGCTGGGGAAGGGAATTCTTTCCCCTCAGACAAGAATTCTGGGCCCTGCCAAACGGGTCGGGGCCCTCTGTGTGGGGCCACCTGTTTGTCTGGGGAGGCTCGAAGAGGGTCGCTAGCGGCATGGGATGGGGAGGGCCGCGGGGGCCCAAACGTCAGATGGAAACAGAGTCAAGGCTATTACTGTAATGAGAGCACCTGCCATATGGCAGGCCCTGTTCTGGGATTCTGTACACGTTGACTCATTTAATCCTCACAATAACCTATGCGGCAGAGACTATTATTAGTCTCACCTTATAGATGAGGAAACCAGAGAACAGAGAGGTTAAGCAACTTGTCAGACACACAGCTCGGAAGGGCTAGAGCCGGGTTCAGAGCCTGGGCAATCTGGCTTCAGTCTCCTAACCCAGGGGATGAAGCTGAGAAGCCTCACCACCTGGAGTGAGAAAGGAGGCCCAGCTGTCATGGCAACTACCCTGAGCCCGCCTAGTGGGGGTCCAGCCCAGGGGCCTCCCCTCAAGCCCAAGTGGCCGGAGCAGCTTCAAGGACCCCCCCAGGGCTGTCGCCCTCGCTGTGAGGCCTCCCAGACCACGAGGAATAGCTCTCCCGCACCAGAGGGCAGCCCAGGCGAGGAGAAGCCATGCTCCTGACCAGGGAAAAGGGGCCACACTCCTCTACTCCCAGCCCACTCTGCCCCCCCCCCCAGGAAGCTGTAGCCCCATCCCCTCCTTAACTCCTGAGGCCAAGTTCTTGGAATACAGATGTGAGGGGGCAGAGACTCTGGGGGCCCAGTGGCTCCCATATTGAGGTAGTTGAGATGCAGGGCCTCCCCCCGAGATCCGACACTGCCCCAGGCTGTCAGAGCGGAGGCAGAAGAGGGGCTACGGTGCTCTAAGACCCCTCCCAACAGAGTCCTCAACCCATGCCCCCCCCCCAGTCCTTTCCTGAGGTCTCCCTCAGAGCAGCAGGGGCCCTACGCCTGGGGGGCCCTGGCAGCCCCAGACTTTTCAAAGCAACTTCCCGGCCTCCCCCAAGTCCCTGCCCGCCTCCCCTCTTCCAGGCGGTGGCCCCCCCCCCTTCTCGGGGTGATGTCAGCCCCGCCCCGCCCCCCGCAGGAGCACTGTGGCCAAATATGGCGAACGCAGCAGTGCTTGGGAGCTGGGACAGACTGGGGGGGCGGGGCGGCGGCCCCAGGCTGGGACCGCTGGCAGCTGGGGAGGGGGAGGGGAGCCCAGGGGGCGGCTGCAAGGACGAGTCAAGGAGACTAGTGGGACCACCGTCCCTCCCCCTGGCCTGCAGGCACATGCAAGACTCACTTTCTAGGAACACTCCTGCGGGCAGAGGCACCAACACAGGGGCCCACAGGTGACCCCGCCACCCCACACAGCCATGCACAGGAGCCCACGTGTGCAGGTATGCTGTGTGGGTGCCCGGATGAGGACTTCCGTGCCCCGGGGCCCAGGCGCCCCCGTGGGCAGCGGCACCAGGCAGGGGGCTGAGCGGGGGTCCCTATCCCACTGTGGCGCTCAGGAGTCGGCGCTGACTGCCCTGGTCTTCCCAGTTACTGCTGTGGGACGACCGAGACCGGTGCGCGCCCACCCTCTTCTCCTTAGACCCTCACACCACGGGGGACCCAGCCTGGGGGCCGCGGGCTCTTCAGGCAGCTGCCGGCTGGCCTGGGCGAATGCGGGGTTCGGGCGCCGTGCCCGGGGCAGGGCATCATCCCCGCTGTCCAGAACCTCTGTGCGCTGGGCTCTGCCGCTGAGAGGGGTGCCGGGGAGGAGGACCCAAGTGAGGGGCGCGGGGGTGGAGCCTGGGGTGGGGTGAGGAGAGGGGGACGGACCCTGACAGGCAGATACGTAAACAGACAAGGGAGACAGGAGAGTCCCAGAGAAGAAGAGACAAAGCCCCCACAGAACCTTGGAGTGAGACCCAGAGAAGGAGAGATCCAGAGAGGAGGCAGGCCGGCAGAACGGGGAGGGGGGGGAGGGACAGGGGGAGAGAGAGAGAGTTGGATCCAG